TTTGGCGCTATATACATAAGCTGAATTGAAAACATAAAAAGGTAATTTTAGAAATGGAATAAATACAACCCAAAATATACGTGAATCATTAAACTGAGTCTCAAATTTGTGCCACAGTTTGTATTTTGATAGCAAACATGTTGTTTGTTTTGGTTATTCCACTGTCCCCCTAGAGGTCAGATTGTCCCTTGGCTGAGGTTATTTATAGTTTAAATGTTGTCCTGGTGGAATCTGAGATGCTTCGGAGGTGAGAAATCGAAACTATAACAGTGTTTCTGTCTTGCGATTGCAGCATGACCAGCTTCATGTTGGAGCGTGTGACGCAGATGATGGCTCGCCAAGGCCAAGCAGGGCTCTGTGACATCACAGTTTGATGCTGGACACTCAGGCGGGGCATGGTGCGTTTGGGGAGGAAACCTCAGACTTGTGTCATAGCACCACGTTACCGCACAACCAGGTTTGGGAGGAAGCCATCCATGTGCCAAGGAAGTGTGGGCCGTGCCACTTCAATCCAGGAATTCTTATCATGTTGACTTTTCAAACGGGATCCACCACATTGTGGTTAAGTCTGCAGCTGGGAAAACAAAGTGATGAATGGAGCAGCCAGCAAGGAAGAATTATGCCCACACACTCACCTCCTCCTCCCTTTTTTCTTTTTTCCCCTTTACACCTTCAGTGCATTCACATACACACACACACACACACACACACACACACACACACACACACACACACTGGTCTCGAATGCTGGGGTGACTGGAGAAATTTGTGAGCTGTGGGGCTCTCTGCGGAGCCACTCTCCTGTGCCGTGGCCATAAAACAAAAGCACTTGTAACATGAAAGAATTCCTGCGATTTACAAGAGGAAGTGGAACATCTGAGAGACGATGTTTAATTCTTGGTGTGCTCTTCGGAGCGAAGCATTAGGAGTGATGGCTGCTGCTAGCTGAAGTTTTCCCGCTTCCATCACCACCTCCATGAGGCTTATCTCCCTTTATACCACCACAGTCATGCACCTCTTTCGATGCTAAATGTACTTCCTGCTCCCCATTATGCTACCATGCCGTAGCGATCAGTAAAACATGTCCACCCTGGATAAAGGGCACTAACAGTGAGCTGTTCTGGGGCCGCCGTGGGTCTCACTTTGAACCTGGTAGCTCCAGGGAACATTCCTGCCTTGAAAGGTTTATTTGGTTATTCCTGCAAATGTCCTGAGGTGAAACACACTGTTAAGTAAACTCAGCTGATACAAACCAGTTGTGGGCATGCAATAGTTAACAGATTGTAACCGCTCGTGAAATGGCTGCTGCTCGCGTTGGAGCAGTGTGCTGCACATCGTCTGCCTCCACCCTGCGACATCAGAAATAACAGGGTTTTCTCAAAGGTCCAGAACTTTAGTCCGACCTTTCTTCCACGGACACCTTGGGTCGGAAATTAATGGGTTCTCCGGTGTTGAGTCTCATTTGAGTTTGAGAGAAATATGAAATACATTTTATATTACAGCCTTCATTTCGTAAATGTACTTTGGACCATCATAGGACACAACAACACAGCCACTCGTGACATTTATTTTATTGGGCTTGTGTGTGTGTGCGTGCGTGCGTGCGTGTGTGTGTGCGTGTGTGTGTGTGTGTGTGTGTGTGTAGTTTTCCAAAAATTGGGTTGCATTCATGTGGATAATTATAACTTTATGATGTTTTTTCCTCCCTTTCTTACGACCACATGTGCAGCAGAGTAAAATAGTAGAAGGGTGGAACCTTCTGGTTCTCTCACTTTTCCCCTTCTTCTTTATGTCCCTCATCTTCCTCCGGCCCCAGACCACCTACGTTAGGAGGTTTGGGTGGACCCAGAACCTTTGCTATCAGAGCAAGTGTACTCAAACGTTCCATAACGACTTCCACAGCCAGTCCATAAACACTCTCAGATGCAGAAAGACACCCTCTCAGGGTTCAGGCGGGTGGTGTAATGCTTTCCCCTTTTGGTTGCAGTCACTAGCTTGGTTTCCTTAATTCCTTCCTATTTAGGAATCTGTTTGTTTGTGCTTTGGTTCAGTGTTGTTTATTTGGCTGCCTATTTTATGAGATTTAGGAAAAGTCTTCTGCACCACCCTCAGAGCTCATATGTGTGTGTGTGGAAACATTAAACTAGGCCTTTTATCGTAAATTGCGAAGTATTCCCGCAGTGGTTAAACCTGTGTGGGGAGTAAAACTCTGTGATGATTTGAACTGTTTAATGAGTTTGTTAAACTCCACACCTTTTGAACACTTGTTACAACTGAATGAATGGCACCAATCTAACAATCGAGATTTGTATTATCTATAAGATCTTTCCCAAGAAAAATGAAATTCTTTGACCAATCAGAGTGGAGACAGAAAACCATTTCACGTGTTCTTAAGCTGTCTTTTATTGTTTTGTTGGCAGCAGAACCTGAAAGTTCTGCGGGTTGTGGGTTGGCCTATCTGTGGATTGGGTTTGCATCCCAAATGCCACCAGATCATGTCTGTAAATAAATGGGCAGGTTTAAAAATAACTTCTGTGCCAGGATACATTTTTAGTTGTCAAGATCAGGCGCATTGCAAGATTTTCAAAAGTGTGGGGGATGTTGTCTGTGCCTAAAATAATGTCATGCTATTCATCTTGTTAGTTTAATTTCCATAACAGCGGAGCAGGTGCGAATTTTAGACGCGTCACGCATGTCTCCGTTTTAAACATGTTTAAAGTGTTCAGAATACAAATCCAGGCTCTGTCTCGTTAGATTGGTGTAACTAAAGTTTGTACTGAATGAAACTTTACATTAAACCATGTTGAAAAGAAAAGGATCCGATTAAATCGTTTCCCCCTCATTTACAGTCAGGAGTACAGCGCAGTGCGCACGGCTCTGGGGTTAATCAAGTTTAGTTGTTTCTCTTTGCAACAATCTTCACAGGAAGGCAAAACAATTAAATGGCAGGTTACAGATATTTCCATTTGACTGTTTATTTTGACGGATAAACTCAAGGATGTTGGTTGTTTTGAAAGAATTACCCAGACGCGCACTGATGCACACACAGATGAGCTGACATTTTAATCGTTACGCACATCGCCGAGGTAACTAAATCAATCCAGAAAAGATTCCCATCAGAACATCAGAGCTTTATACTGGACACTGTGCTCAGCGCGGATCGGAGCGCACACGGTGGACAGTGAGCTGAAGATCTGTAGAGGGGTTCGCAGCGCAGTGCAGAACCACGGCGCATGCGGTAAGATTTCCTCCCACTGAAGCGGTCTGGAAAGCCGGTCTCTCTGAGGGACGTGTCACTTGGAAAAATGTTCGCTAATTATGAAACTTTGGCTGAATATTGCTTGTTCCCGTCTCCAATATGGAGACGCATGACGCATCCAGTCTGAGACAGAATAGCCTCTTCAGCTCAGAAAGCACCTGTAGAGACATTTGATCACGCACAAAGTTTATGTGGAGCAGAAGCGGTCGGGCCACGGCAGGTGAAATGTTTCTTTAGCCTACATGAAGTGAAACAGTTCAATTGTAACATTATGTTACTGGACACGCTGGTCTGGTTGGTTAGACCAGTGTTTGAAGTGGAAAACACACACACACACACACACACACACACACACACACACACACCAATTAAAATAATGCTGATAGCGTGGACTAGAAGACAGGTGATGGTTTACGTATTTAAATGATGATCAGGCTGCTGTAAAATGTAATCTCCATCCACATCCAGACAGAATTATCCTCTATTCTTTCTCTATTTGCTCTGCTCTTGTCTGGCGCGTCTAGCGGCTGTGATGCACATGTTACGCATTTGGAGAGGTGGGCTGGATGCTTTGCTTTTACTGGAAGATGGATTTTTTTTTTCCAAAAATGTCGGCGATTTTGCCCCATGAATAACCGTAAAAACTACTGGTGTGCATGTACCCTTATGAAAGAGTCCTACGTTGAGAGGTAAATATTAGAAGTGCAGGTAATGCATTCTGGTGCCTATAAATGAAAAATGAATGAAAATTAAATTGGAAAAAATTTATGACGTCTTTTTAAATGAAATTTTCTAGCGCGACCTGCCTGCTTCACTTAAGTCAATGCTTATTAAGGTCCGTCCAGAATTACCGTGGCCCACCCACAAATGAAAATCTGGCACCGCGCCTGCTATAAACCTCTGCAAATTGCAGTTCTTCACTTTATCAAACTCAGAGTTTGTACAACTCATGAGCCACATCACTCATGTTAGATATAATTTGATCAGTTACATCCAGGACTGTGGGCTGATTGGCTGCACCTGACGGTAAGGCATTTCCTGTTTCCTGTTTTCAGTGTTGCACTATGGCTGTGTCTCAATTCAGGGTCTGCATCCTTCGAAGGACCCAGCCCACCCGGCCGACGTGGGCTGCGTCCTCCGTCGGCCGGGTAGACCGGATGTTAACGGCTGTGAATTTGGACAGGCCTAGCCTTCATGAACTCCCTCGGCGAACGTTCCGTCGCCTAGCAACCGTGGAACCGCTGGGCAGAAGGAACCTTAAACGATGGAGCTCGACGTTTTATTTAGCTTTTTAACCCCCAGAAACCCAAATTTAGAAAACAACTGCAAAATATTTTTAACCTTTCACATGTTGTTCTAGGAGGCCAGATAAACGGGCCTATTTACACATTTTAACAGCCAATAGTGTTGCAGAACTGAATAGGACCTATTAGCAATGTAAATGTGGTTTTAAAAAGAAAAAAATGGGGAAGGTTTATTTTTGTGGACTTAAATCTGATGTTGTGATACTACAACCGTGGGTCTCTGGGGGTTAATCATTTCCTTGACTGTTGGAGAGCTAATTCAGAGAAAATACTTTAGACTAGCTGAGCCTGAGCAAAGATGTGATAATAGTTTTTAATACTTTCTAAGGGTCTTAATTTGACCAAAACTGATTTATCACCTTTTAAGACTTTTCAAGACCCAGCGGATACCCTCTAGTAAACAATTCTCATTTGTAAACAAAAATAAAATTCAAGAGTTTAATGCAGAACTGATTTTATTTAGATATTTCTTTTATATGTACATGTTTAATCTTCATTAACCATTTTTTTCTAGCAAAGTAAAAAGCTGTCAAAGTTCTTCCTTCTCTCCTGTGCTCTCTGCTGCTCTGCAGCCTCATGTCCTCCCAGATCAGCTCCAGAAGCTCATCGCTGGCACCTTCCCCTGGATGCCCATTTTCTCCAGAATAGTCTTAACAAACATGTAAGAAAAGAAACAGGAAGAGAAAAGAGGACAACGGGTTATTTCTTTCATGTTTTCGCAGAAAAAAATATACTCAAACGAGTTTTTAAAATATGAGATGTTATTGTACCTCCATGCCACAGCCGCCGAATACTTTGCTCCGGTGATCATGTGGTCCATCTCCGCCCTAAGCTTAATAAATTCCCTGGTTTTCTCTTTTGGTCCTAAAATACAAACTTCTATTAAAATCAGGGGGAAACGTAGTGGGAGAAGTATGACACCGAGCGCGGCCGAACATACGAGCCGAGACCGCATTACAAGCACTTTTACTGTAACATTTCTAACTAAAATAACGTTCATGTATCACAAAAAGTCCTTAAACTGACAGTTTTCAAGTTTATACTTACATTTATATGCGCAATCCTCTCCGACAGCTCCCGATTCACTGTCCGCCATTGTTTTTAAGTTTTTCTGCCAGCCGGCCCGCAAGGCATCTTGGGAAATGCTACCTATTGAAGGATACACCCGACCCATCCTTCATTCAGGCGAAAAGAAGGCCGCATTCGTCGACCGCATTTGAAGGAGTCTTCGAATTGGGACAGGCCGAGTCGCGGCGCTGTGACGTAACCGGCCGACGAATCCGGCCGAGGTAGGATGCAGACCCTGAATTGAGACACAGCGACTGTGTGTCATCGGTCTCGGGTCAGGTGAGTCCTCCTCCTCAATTAACTATCTTTGGGGTTCTGTGTTCCACAGGTGAGGAGCGGAGGGGCACCAGCTGTGCCGAGTTAATCATTTGGACCTCAGGTTTGAAAGGAGGATGGAGACACCACTCGAAGCCGGATGATTACTTCAGTTATGGTAACGCCTGCCACTTGTATTCGTTTGCTCCTAGTAGTTTGCTCTCGCGTGTTGGATTATTTGGATTTTGGACCTTGGACAGTTATTTGGATTATGATTTTGAACTTGCTCCTGAAACCCGGTTCTGTTTGCCCTCCTAGCATTTTCACCACACCGGATCTTCATTCCACGCCCCATCCTCCTCCTCAGCTCCTGGATCTCCCCTCTCTGCTGCCTCACCTCACGCCCGGCTGGGTCTCCACTCTCATCCACCTCTGCTCCCCACTCCACGGCTCGCTGAGCTAGAACTTTGGACTTATCGCCCACGGCATTACTCACTAGTTTTCCAGTGCTCCTTTAGTTCTCGTTTGTGAATAAAATACTTTTATTTCTTACCTTCTGACTCCCGTGCTGATTCTGCATGTCTTGGGTTAAACGCCTTTCCCCCAGTCATGACAACGTGTAACTGTTTGGTGTTTGGGGCTCACTAAAACTGATTTAATTTCTCTGTACTAGGATATCTCTGAGTTATTGTAGCACATAAGCACACTAAAACACACATTTTCTGTTGTTCCACCTAGCTTTTAGGGAACCATTTGAGTTCGCACGCAGTTTATTTGGTGTTGAACAGTTTGCTCGTCCAGTTAGCTTAGCCTCAGCATGGCTATGGCTACTTCTGTCTCTGCTTCTCCATCTCCTATCTCTTGCTCTCTGTTTCAGATGTTTAGTTACTCCTCTGCCTCCTTTAGTGATAATGGTACGTGTAATAAATGTAGCATTTTTGTAGCTTTGGAGGCGAGGGTGTTGGAATTGGAGTCCCGGCTCCGAGCTGTTGAACAACCCGTAAACAGCCGTAGCTACTTAGCTAGCGTGGGGCTAACTAGCTCAACCCTGTGGCGATCCTCCAGCAGAACCCGAGCAGCCGGGACCTCAGGCCGGCTGGGTGACGGTACGCAGGAAGCATAGAACCCAGCCCGTGGGCCACCACCAACCCGTCCACGTTTCTAACAGATTTTCCCCGCTCAGTGACGCACCCACTGACAAGCCGACTCTGATCATTGGCAGCTCCATAATCAGAAATGTGGCATTAGAGGCTCCAGCAACCATAGTTAAATGTTCACCTGGGGCCAGAGCGGGCGACATTGAATCTTATCTGAAACTACTGGCTAAGGAAAAGCGTAAATACAGTAAGATTGTTATTCACGCTGGCGGTAACGACACCCGGTTACGCCAATCGGAGGTCACTAAAATTAATGTTGCTTCGGTGTGTACGTTTGCCAAAACAATGTCGGACTCCGTAATTTTCTCTGGCCCCCTGCCTGATCAGACCAGTGACGACATGTTTAGCCGCATGCTGTCCTTCAACCGCTGGTTGTCTAGGTGGTGTCCTGAAAACAACGTGCGCTACATTGATAATTGGAAAACTTTTTGGGGAAAACCTGGTCTGATGCGGAGAGACGGCATCCATCCCTCTTTGGATGGTGCAGCTCTTCTTTCTAGGAACATGGCCAGTTTTATTAGTCCTCCATGACAACCCAGGGTCCAGACCAGGAAGCAGAGTCGTAGTTTAACCCACCCCTCTGCAGTTTCTGTACTGTTACCCACCCACTACCCCATAGAGACAGTGTCCTGCCCACGGCCAAAATCACACAGATTAAATATCAGGCTTAATAAAGCAAATCATGGAAATCTCATAAGTTTTAGAACAATTTCAACTGAGCAGAAAACTAGAAAAATTAAATGTGGGTTGTTGAACATTAGATCCATTTTTTCTAAGACTTTGTTGGTTAATGACTTGATTTGTGATAATCAGATCTCTTTGCTCTCTCTCACAGAATCCTGGCTGCAGCAAGAGGACTATGTTAGCTTAAATGAGTCGACTCCTTCAAATTATTTAAATCATCATATTGCTCGAAGTACAGGGCGAGGAGGAGGAGTAGCAACCATTTTTCATTTAGACTTATTAACCAGTCCCTTACCAATTAATAGCTGCAGTTCATTCAGACATCTTATTCTTAGTTTTCCTAATCCAGATTGCAAAATTGTAAAACCACTCTTGTTTGCACAGGAACAGGCCCTGAACACAGCCTGGAAAGTGAAGACATCGGTGATGACCGTGGTCATCGGGGCACTCGGGGCAGTAACCCCCAAACTGGAGGAGTGGCTAAAGCAGATCCTGGAAAAAACATCAGACATCTCAGTCCATAAAAGTGTTAGTAATAATTTATTTATTTAGCTTTTTCTTCGTGCTATGTAGTTAGCGTTCATGAGACCAAGTTCACTGAGAAACAGTTTTTTGGATTTTTGAAATTTGAGTTTCACATGTGGGCTAAATGTGAAAATAGTCATCTACCCCTATTTCCTGCAATTTAGGTTTTACCAACATTCTCTGAAGTTCTTGGAAAAATTGTGTACAAGAAATTAAGTGAATATCTGGAAAAAAATAACTGCATACTCTCATCAAAATGGTTTTAGGCAAAAACATTCTACTTACATGGCACTTGTTCATTTTCTGACAAAAATATATAAAGTTAAAGATTGAAAACAAAAAACTATAGGTATTTTTCTGGATCTATCAAAGGCATTTGATACTATTTTGTTGGAAAAACTTTCATTTCTTCGTGTACGTCACAAATCATTAGACTTGGTTAACCAGTTATCTGACTGAGATATCAGTCTGTCAACTATAAGGGGTTAGAATCCCATCTCCTTCCTCTTTAGTGTGGGCTACCTCAAGGCTCCATTCTGGGACCCTTGTCATTTCTAAAATATATCAACGATCGCCCCAATGCTTCAGATTAACTTTGAAAAATCTTATTTGCAGATGATACCAGTGTGTTTCAGTATTCTTAGTGTTAAACAAATTAATCAGCTTCAAGTCGTATTATTTGTTTACAGTTCTACGAAAAGTTACTTCCTCAACACTTTCACAATTTTTTTCTCTTAATAATGAATTCCACCAGTATTCAACCCGTAGCATTAGGCCACCTTATTCCCTTACAACCTTGACTAATATTTTCTAAGGATGATTTATTTTAGCTTGTGATGGAAGGGAAAGCTGTTGTTGGTTTAACACCCAGGAAAAAGCAGAGCATGTCTCTGCTATGAAGATAACCATTAGCATTAGCAACAGCCCAACATGGCAGAACTCCTTCAAGCTTGTGTTATTTGTGGAGATAATACATCAATGGTACAAAGCAAACAGAGTCAGTTGTAGAGTTGCGGTTAGCCAATCAGAGGCAAGATGTCCAAACATCAGGAATTAGTATTCCAAATCTGACTGTCCAACACTGCTCTGGCTCACTTCACATTCCTGAAACAGGAGCACCAGAGCTTTTTTTTCCCCCACAGAGACTCACAAGGAATGAATTTGTACTAGAAACCACTGCAAATTTGTTGAAAATGAGTAAATTTGGTCTTTAACAACTTGATTGATGATTGCTTTCAACTTCTCCAACAAAGCCATCAACCTGTCTCTCCTCTTTAGGGACCATTTTGGTCCAAGCAAGTAACACCTGCTGAACCAAAGATGGTGCATTTGTAGAAAATCCTCCAGGCAGGGCTTGAACACAATTACCAGCTCAGAATAGCCTCACCCTTGATGACTGTTATGATGGCATTTTCTCTTTGACAGTTTCCCTATTCATCTCTCATGTTTTCATCGTTCTCTTTATCTGCAGGTGGCTCAAAAATCAGTGAGGTCCTTGTTTGTTCACTGAATTGAATATTGTTGCTTTTGGCTGTCTCTACAACCTCTAATTGCAAGCCAGGGCTCATATCTTTGTCGGGATGTGCAGCTGATGCTGGCTGGCCCCCTCCCATACAAACATGCAGTATTGTTCTCTCACCTGAGAAGGGATGTCCTTCAACAAGCAGAAACAAACAACCTTTTCAGCACAAACACACGTCCTCACACAAAAGGCGGGTTGTGCTGCTGCATCCTGCCCACCAGAGGGTGCAGACAATGTGCCCCCATCACCCCTGGCTTGAACCCAAGATTCCTCCAGAGCCAAAGAATGAAGCTCCGGATGGTGGATCAACTAAATGAGTCAAACAGACAACAATAGGCTATGAGAAGATACACAAATGTGTTTTCCAGTCACATTCATGACATCATTTAAATGTTTGAAGATACAGATACAAGCTTCCTATTCATGTGTTTTTGCAGATCATCCTTTATTATCTTTCCTTTATTGTCTAAATAACACACGTCATCTTAGACCTCCCAAAAAAGACAGCATATTTGGAATCATAGTCAGAAGGGTTTTATTGCCATGTGTGCGAGAATCACAACATTAGGAAATTGTTGGTGCAAAAAAGGAAGATAAAAATAAGAAATGAGAAAATATAGGAAGTAAAAATAAAATCATGATAAAATAATAATATAAAGTGGTAATACTTAGAGAAATGGCTGCTATGTACAAGACAGTGTAGGTTCTGATCAGAGCGGATCAGTTCAGGTACAAACACAACACAGGGTCAGGTGACTGGAACCAAGCGACTGGAGTAGGCAGTCCTAGGATTGTCATTGATGAGTCTGACCGCAGAGGGGAAGAAACTGTTCTTTTGGCGAGAGGTTCTGGTCCGAATGGATCTGAGCCTCCTGCCAGATATGAGCGAGTCAAAAAGACTGTGTCCAGGGTGACACGGGTCAGCTGTGATCCAACCCGCATGCTTCAATGTCCTGGAGGTGTACAGGCCCTGCATAATAATAATAATAATGCATTGAACTTATATAGCGCTT